GAAAGGATCCATACGCCAAAGGAAACATAACTCCCTGGAAAGCAGCGCTGTGAGCGGCACCGACGCACACCTTAGTTACAACCTTCAGTATGCCTGTGTCCCCGGGTACAGTCGCACTTCCCGAGACACAGCTTTCCTTCTGCAGATAAGATTTATTCAAACAAATTGCACTTTAGCTAAAGATTTGTAATTTTAAATACTAAAACTGTTGTCAGCTGCCATTTATTATATACTTGCATGGCACCAGTGCTCTAATAAAGGGCAAAGTGTCCATATGCATCACACGGAGTGATGTCTCAAGGCAGCTGTGAAGAGTAACACAAACCTGCAGAACAGTCAAAAAGTAAAGATTTACACTGTTTTAAATAGCATTCATTTAAAAAAAAAAAAAAAGAAACACTGCTCTTTTCTGGAACACAGTGAATTTTAAGCATCTCTGTATTTTAACAGAACAGTTGAATTATTGTTATATACAGAGGAAACCAAAAGTTTGGCACTTGTTACAACTTGCATTTGTTATTGCATCCTGCACTTGCGTGGCACATGCGCGTTACCAGAACCCACGCAGGCTGTACGGCTACAGTATTTATGGAACCAACTAGAGAAACTGCAGAAAACGGAAGTTAAGCTTCCTGGTGTTTTCTGGAAGGGGAGTTTATAAAGCAAGCCAGGCGCTTCAGTAGCTTTGATGAAAAATTCCTATTTTCAGCCAGAACTCTGCTTCAGAAGGCAAGGCTGTGTGACATGCAAGTTTTGTGCAGTCAAAAGCAAAAGGGATGCAGCCTGCCCACAGTTATTAGTGAGCCGATTGTGGAAATTCGCCTTTGTTTTCAGATTCACCACTATCCTTTTGTGTACTCTCAGATTAATTTGCCTTCAATTTAAAGATGAGGTACCCCCAAAGCTACAGAAAGTCACTTGACCCGGAACAGCCGAGTTGATACAGCATTTTCACAATAACTAAAGCTTAAGGAATAGCTGATAAAATATTTGAGGACAGGCAGACCTTCCTGCAGTATAACAAAACAGAAGATTCTTTAGGATGCCTCTTGTTCAGGTTATAAAACCAGAAAGGAAGAGACTTTGAAATCCAACACTGACTCTTTAGGAACACGAGCATCTCACAAGGCCAGGCGAGGAATGGAGACCAGGCCAGGTGTGTGCCTCCCCAAGACACCAAAAGATTTATCTTACAAGAGCAACAGCACTTCACGCCTTCGCTTCCGTAATCACTCTTTCTGCTGCGCGGAGCAGTGCAAGACCACACGCGTAAAACGAGCGCAGAGGACACTGTTATGTGCTTACGGTATTACCTCTTTTTTGCTCCCATTGGTACACTCCAACTTTTGATTTTACCCTTAAATTAGCAATTCCAGAGTTTTTCCAAAAATAACCTGTGGCACATGGGAAAAGGAAGAGGGAACTTTTTCGGGGGGAATTGTGGTAAGAGGTGGAATGAGGGGAGAAAAAAAGCCACCACTATTCCCATCTTCTACAACCCCTACCCATATTTAGTGATTTTCTAATTACAATGGCTGGGGTTTGTCCAATTCTACAGCAGGGGGAAGGAAAGGATGTAGATGGCCAACCCGAGTCACCCAAGCCTGCAACGTGTCCCAGCCAGGCCTCGTTTGGGATTGCGCTGAGCCTGACTCAAGACCCAACCACCCGAGACCTGCACCCAACGACCCAGCCCTGACCAACATGTGGTGGGCACCAAGTCGGCAGCACTCTTCAGCGATACAGACAGCCATCTCAAAACACCGGCATTTCAATGCTGTCACAGACTCACAACCCCAGCGAGGCACCCAGTTTGGTAAATCAGTAAGGACAGTGCCTAAAATCCTCATGCTTGGAAGCCAGCAGACTGCAGAGACAGCTGGCTAAGAAAATCATTCCAAGTCACCTGTGGGGCAACTGGCTGAATTTGAGTGCTGATTCACAAGCTGGAAGGAATTAAGGCTACTGTGCCAAGCGAGGACAACTTAAAACAAGTTTCTAAACTGCAAAACCACCTAAAACCCCTGGATTGCAAACGGAGAAAATTCGTGAGTAGCTTCCCATGCGGTTCAACCATCGCACACAGGGTACGCAGCCGCCAGGAAAGCAGGGACAGCTGGCGTGGTGGCATGTACCAATGAACCCAGTTCAATCTATAGCTGTTCGCACATTCAACACGCTCGGGAAACTGGTGACCTCCCTCCACTCAGCACCTCCGGTTCCAAAGCCTCCCTTCCTCTACTGAAGGCGGCCATGTCATTCCCAAGAAAAGTCAGAGGTCAGCTATCCCTCTCTCACACACCATCACGTGCACAATCAGGCTCTCCCTGGAGAAAGGAGAGCTTTGGCTTCAAAAACCTTGCTCCAAACTGGGAGGCAACTGAACCTGGTTATTAGACATCCCAAGAGATGCACTTGTCACCAGGCTTGCAGATCAGAACTGGAGAGACAGACACACACAAGTCAGACTCCGAAAGATGCATCCCTTCCCTCCTACGCACACACAGAGGCTAAAGCACCTCCTGGATCAGCCCCACCGACAATGCAGATGGGGAATGATCCCCATCCCCTTGAAGCAAGGCCAAGGAAGCCAGCTGTGACATCTCGGAAGCGCTTAAATCTTCAGCTTGAGCATGCCCCCAGAACTCCAGGAGCCAATGTCTCTAGAGACTTGGTCCCTAGCCACCAACCACGCAGAAAGTGACAGGAGTACACGCGTGCTAAGAAATCATGTTTGTAACCGTTTCAGGTGAAGAGGCTTAAACTTCTCGGTCAACTCATCCTGAGTGCGTTCGCACCGCACTCCAATTACCAGCAGATTTGTTTGTTTTATTTATGTTTAAAAAAAAAAGTAAGAATACATACCCTTAATCCTACTTTAAGTGTAAACATTTGGTTCAATAACTTTAACTGCAAAACACTGCTAGAGTATATATGATTTGTATTTATTATGTGCATTTATTACTTAGGTTTTCTGGATGCTGAATGCCCTCAAGTGCACTGGGAAGCTACAGGGACTCAAGAGATAGCAGCCTGCAATATTCTGAATAACATTTTCGAAAGTTTTCTAAGCCACTTAGAAAACTGAGCTCAAAAGTGAAATAGATACTTAGGAACATTCATCACTTTTGAGTATGGGATCTTGGCACTTTGTCTAAGAAAAAAAATTGAACGATGTAAGATTTTCAAAAAAGGGAAGTTTTACAGATAAACTAACAGCACTTGATTTACTTCAAGACAGCCAAGGATGGAAATAGTGGTTCACATTTCTGTAGTAAAGCACTATATATAAATTTAAAATCTTAAAGACATATATATATACACACACACCAAGTTTACTGCAAGGCATAAATATATAAACTTTTTAATACGCCAACTAATATAGGTCAGAAAATGGATGTATATAGTTCAAGTTTTGCAGCACTTCAGCATTGTAAAAAATAAAAAAAAAAATAAATAATGGTCAATGATTGGCTGCTGCCCTCTTTTTTTTTTCCCCCCCCACCCCTTTGCTCAGAATCAGAGAAATTCCAACCACACATCAGCGCTATGGAAGGACTGAGCACAAATAAGTTTCAGAATGTGTCTCTTCAAGGAGTATTTAGTGAAATATAACTATTTTGTACTAGTTTGGGATTGTATTTCAGCATATCTAAGATGATTCAATAAAGATGACGAAGGTTTATACTAACACAACTGAGGGCAGAGATTGGCTTGTCTGAGGTCCACAGAGTTGCAGAGCGGAAAGTATTGTATGTAGTTATAATACTGGTTATACAAAGTCTATTTTTCTGAAGGGCATCTCTCTCATTTTATTCCTTTTAAATAAATACAGGCTACGTCCCACCCACCACAACAAAAATGAAATCAAAAATTGAGGTAAAAGTGTTCTACCAGCTGGTCTTGACTATGAAAAGTCAATTACACATCGCTACTGATAATCTCAATTTAAAGTCGCTGTACAAATTTTCCTTAATTCCTAGTCCAAAAATCATGTTTTCTGCAAAAGAAATATATCCTTATCATATTTCACCTTTGTTCTAACAGAGATAAAAAACACCTTTCTATAATCCTCAGTCTTAAAAAACATTCTTAGTTTGCAATCGGTCTGAAGTAAAAAAGGATAGCAACCTATTTTCTTTAATTTGTCAGGTTTTGTTGTCTTTAACCAAAAGCAGCAATCACCATTAACCGTCCCAAACACCGTCTCCCTTTTTACTTCAAGGAAACAGCCACCAAAGCCCACACAGAAACACACGCCACCCCTCTGTACACCAGCTCATCAGGCTATTCAAATGACAGCGTAGAAAAAACAGTTTACTTCTCTGTAGTGTACTGCATCCATTTCAGATTAGTCCATTTTAAATATATTAAAAATATCTGTAGGAATGAAAACATTGCAAATGAATGAAAAACCATACCTACCACCATTTTTAGGCACAGACCTTAACTTTTGAGGAAGGACTAGAAATAAAAGGTGCAACAACCAACATCTCCTACGGCATTACGGTCAAACAACAGTCTTTGCAGTATACCAGGGAGGTTGGTTATCATATAGCTTCTTGTATTATAGCTATCCAGTCCAAGATAGCACATTTATTCTTATCAGTTCCCCTCAGGGGAAACGCATCTTAAATCTTTTTTTGCTTTTCAATAAACTTTGCCAAAGGAATACCAATTCCCACCAGTTTCAGACACAAAAAACCTCCTTCGATAACATGGTTTAAACTCCAAATGGTTACGGCTGAAGGTATTTCCTTGATCCCCCCTTTTGTTTTCCCCCCCTCTCTTCTTTTTAATGTACACTTAAGTTATTTGTTCCCGAAACAAGAACTGAGACTCAAGCTTTTTAAGCATTTAAAACAAAAACAGTTACCATACCAAAGCACAGCATACAGTGTAAGTTTCAGCTGTAATTTCTCATATTTTCCTTTATATAGAGCTATATTATGGTGGACTGCGCAGAACTCTTCCAGTCTCCTCCACTATCAGCATACGGATCACGGAGAAGGTACGCGAATGCGGAATAGTCCTTGTTGAAGCTGCAGTCGAAAGAGCTTGCAGTTTGCGATCCGCAAAGCTGCACAGCCAGTACGGCGAAGGTCCGATGGAAATAGCGGTTTAGTGCGCTGCCAGGTTCCCGTGCTTCTTTTAAATTCTCTAACATAGTCATAATTGGTACCTGAATTCACACACGCACAAAAAAAAAAGATAAAATGCTTAAGCCATACTGTAGCTGTCACCACATTTAGCAAATACATGAACAAGAGCGTGCACAGAAACACAAATCAATTTCTGGATGTATGACTGAAATTATTGTCAAAAGGAAATTACTATGACATTTCTTATCTACTTAAACCCACCACATTTGGAATTCTGCTCTTTCATATTCTGTAGAAAGCCCTGTTACACACTCAGATACGTACGTATGGCCATGAAAGCATGTAGTCTCCCAAATGTTTTTTACAGTATGTGGCCAGATGCTGAAAGCCGAGTACTGAATACGTTTGTAACTACACATTCATTTGGTTGGGATTTAGAGCCAGGAGCCACTATCACATCCATATGAACTACTGGATGATGTCCCCAAAATGCAGAACCACCTGCTTACCACCGCAAAGATGGGAGAAACTACCTCAGGTGCTAACATCTTTTCTTATATTTAGAAAAATGCAGTAACATACTCTTAAGTCTTGATCTCTTCAGATCTTCAAACTGCTAATCAACCAAACGCTTACAGCAATGACTTTGTTTCTGAAGAGCTCCAATGTACAAAACCAACCTGTACATTTCTGTATGTCCAGCATTAATTCCCCTGAAAACACCAACAGCTTACCAGAACATAGTCCCAGCCTTTTATTAAAAAAAAAAATTCAGTCTCATTAGTGCCACGTATTTCAAAGACTGGAAGAAGACAAGCAACAGGAGATTATTAGTTCTAATTCTGACCTGTATCAAGATCCCCAATCACATATATGCTGGCTCCAATGGGCACAGCTCCATACACGAAGGAAGAACTAGTTGGGATACATAGGTTCTGGTCATTTAGATAAATCCACCTGTAAAAACAGTAATAAAGAAAACCGGTATGCAATTTTTATTGAGCACATCAAAAGAATTCCACGTTCTTTTTGCAACTGCCATCTTTGAATCAAAAGCAGAGTGTACAAGTTAATTTGTTGTGTAAAAACTGTTGGGAACATTGTCTAGTTCAGAAGAGTCTTGGCTTTTCCTAGTCAGGAAAAGCAATTGGTACTGCTGTTTGGGAAGCTCAGGATACTTTATCCTGCAGTTACTTCATTTCAGAATTGCTCCACTCATCTGTGTAATCTGTCTGGAATAAATTCTTCTTGTACCCGCCCACTGTGACCTTCTGGAAGAGAGCAGGCATGGAAGAGAGCCTCTTCTACAACAGCTACACCAGTCAATTTT